CAAGTATCTCCCATCGATGTTTAATTTAGATAAAAGAAAAATTTAATATTCGAGATATCAACAATTTATTTATAGAAATAATTATAAAAGTAATTTTCGATGGATGATTTTTTTATCAAAAGGAAATAATCAGCTTTTATTAAAAAATCAGGATTTCTTTCCAAGATGATATTCGAATACTTTAACTATTATATAAATGTGTATTCTTTTTATGCTCTTTTTTTACGTTTTTTTATTTGTTATTTCTCTCTCTCTTTTTTTCTTCCACAAACGTTCGAATATACGGTTGCCTAAAAATAAAATAAAATAAAATAAAATAAATAAATAAAACCTGCCCGATTGTTAAATTTTCGCATCGGGATCAAATTTCTGCGTATACAAACACGCGTGTTTCGAATAAATTTATCGGTCGATTTAATATCACGCGATAAATCAAACCGGCGTGTAACGATGAGATTTTAATCCACAATATAATTTATTAACAAGATATTTTAATGCAGATTATCGCCACTGCAATATTATAATACGTATGACACCCGGGTTATTACATTACGCTGAATAGCCTGTTATCCTTAATTTAATCCTGGATCATTTCAATTTTCGAAAATCGATATAACGCGTATGTTGAAGATATTGTTAAAATTATTAAAAAATATATATATATATATATTACAATACCTGTAAGCGCTGTCTCTGTGCTTAGATTCGAGCTTACCCCGTTACGTGGTATTAGCTTCATTATTTCGCTTAATGGCGCGTTTGATCAAACGATGCCGCGGCGACGCTATTTGTACGACTAAATTAGTTGGATGTTACTAAAGGGAAGGAAGGCTGTGGTGCTTGCGCGTGAAACCAAGCCTGATGGAATGCAGAGTTCGGCAGAGGGGTTGTAACGCGCGAGGGATGGGAATATAAAACTGGAGGACAATTCAAGGGATGACGACAAAGTGCTAGGTTGTAGCTCAAATTCTATTCTCGACGAGAATTGTAATATTGAAAGCGTACGAATTTTATGACAAATCGCGTAGTAATTTCACGCATCTTACAATTTTACAATTTTTTGTCTGAGATCTAACGTACGACGAGGGACAATATTCTACGATAAAAATCTCTTTGTGGAATAAATATTATTCTTCTTTTTCTTTCAAATATTTAATTATTTAATAAACATGCTCGAGAAAAATATATCGATCACGATTCAAATTTGCAAATTAAAATTTATTAATAAACTAAAGAGATGATGAATTATTATTAATATAAAGCGTTGAATTACGCACACGTTAATACTTTATCTCCTTGAAAAGGAGGGAAAATCTCATAGCGTTAAATCTAGCCATCGAATCATCTCCTACCATCATCCCTTCGTCGCGAGGAAATTTCATACCTCGTGAAATCAGAAATCCTTGGAATCAAATTCTCCCCATATCATTAAAGAATCCTCGGGACATCAAAGGAAGGAAGGAAATAAGGAAGAAGAAATCTGGATTCAGACGCGTTTTCTATATCATTTCAAGTGGAATGGCTCGTGTTATATCCCCGTGTAGAAGATGGATGAAAGTTTAGACACTGGGTTGCCTTTCCTGTGTGTAGTAAGTGTAACACAGAGAGTTGTGCGCACGGTTGAATGCGCAATCGGTTTAGAGACGGCCGACCGACGATAACAAGGCTGGGTCCCGTAAAAAAGGGAAACGAAACATCGCGGAATATGCGTGCGGAATTTTTCATGCAATCCCATAAATGGAACCCGCGGCACGGCCGGTACGCACTGCGGAAACATTTGCCCCGGTGCGGTCGTCTCGCTTCTGCTCCAACAGCTCCGCTCGCCCCCTCTCTCTCCCGCTCATTGTGTATATACGAGGGAACACTCGTCGTCGTGCACTGGTTGCACGTTCCATTGCGCAAATGCGCCGTTTGGATTC